TGGGAGGTGGAGGTCGCAGTGAGCCGAGATTGTGCCACTGCACTCCAGCCTGGGCAACAGAGCGAGACTCTGTCTCAAAAAAAAAAAAAAAGATTACTATGCTAGAAAATCTTCCTGTAGGGGCATTTGTAAGAAATGTTATGATGGGCATTGCCTCTGGAAAGCAGGCATGAATAGATGGCTGGGGTCTATCATGAGAGAGACCGTTCTCTGTGTATCACTTTGTACCTTCACATGTTGCCTTTTGTTTTGTTTTGGTCTTTTTTTGAGACAGGACCTTGCTCTGTCACTCAGGCTAGAGTGCAGTGGCGAGATCATAGCTCACTATAACCTTGAACTGCTGGGCTCAAGTCATCCTCTTTCCCCAGCTCCCCGAGTAGCTGGGATTACAGGCATGCACCTCCATGCCTGGCTGTATGTTGCTATTTTGTATTTTAAAAACCTATTCCTGACTGTACTGGTAGTCTCATGAATCTGTGCACATACATGCAAACAAGTACATGTAAAACTGGTGAAATCTGAATAAGGTTCATGGATTATACCAATGTCAGTTTCCTGATTCTGACAGTGTGATACTTACGTGAGATGTCATCATTGAGACAAAGTGAGTAAGGGATATGTGAGATCTTTGTATTATTTCTTACAACTGCAAAACAAAAAATTTTTAAAACTAAGTTATAATAACACAAAAAGAACTCTGTGTCAAAACTAAGATACAAAGTTTAAATATTGATTTTATTTTTTAGGAATCTGGTGGACAGTAACAAACTTTGGTGAAATTTCAGGAACCATAGCCATTGAAATGGATAAGGGAACCTATATACACGCACTCGACAATGGCCTTTTTACCCTGGGAGCTCCACACAAAGAAGGTTTGTGTCTGGAAGGGAAGAGGCTGCCACAAGTGTAGGTTTTAGGACATTCATTCGCTTAGGCCAAACTCTAACTAGTTTCAGACATTTTCCAAAGGAAATTTTTCCAAAATTTTCCAAATTTTCCATTGCATTTGACTCTTCCGTTTTTTTTCTTCCTTAATATTTACCAGCCATTGGCAAGTCCCTCTTTCTAATACAAGCATTTGAAAACATTCTGTATAGTTCCAGAAGAGTATCTTTGGAAATCAAAACAACATGAATAATTAAAATAGTAAGTGAAAAGAAAAAAGAAAACCTACTTGAGTCAAAATGTTTGAATTTCTTTTTTAGTCAGACCTATTGTCAAAACTAACCTGGGTGTGGGTAACAATTTGAAGTTTCCTCATTTTCTTTAGCCCATTGGAGGAAGCACTAATGAGATACGAAGTAATTAGAAGATAAAAAACAGTATCATTTGGTCAGCAAGGCCATCCCTTGAATAAATGAAAGCGTTTAGTTTTTTAAATAAGTGCTTATTTATGGCTGTATTTTAAAACATAATGAGAAGATATCTCAGAAGTTATTAAATAAGCATTATGTTAGCCTGTCCTACTCAATATGTAAAATTAGCGCTGTAGTTAAAAGAAGGTAAAATAGATCTTGATTCCAAAGATGCAGTATTACAGTGACATCAGCATATCTGAATATTCTTACATTTAATTGCAGAAGAAAATAGCCATATTTTTTAAAGCAAAATGATATCTTTATAGCAAATGTCAAATTTATTTTCAAATGTTTTTTCTCCAATAGTTGATGAGGGCCCTAGTCCCCCAGAGCAGTTGACGGCTGTCAAATTATCTGATTCCAGGTGAGCTTATGTTGTAATATAATTAGTAACCAGTTATTTTAAAAATTTAATTGTATTCATTAAAAATTTTAGTGTCTGTCTTAAGCCCACAGAGTAATTTTGATATAAAAAACAAAATAGCTTTTTTGAAAAGTAGATTTTGTGATCTACTTTTAGTGGATTTCCTGTCAATATATAATGCTAGGCTGGAAAAAAAATATGTAAAAAAATGAAGATTAATAATTTCACACACCAAATAAGATAGATTAAAAAAGAAATCAGACAGTACAAAACCTGGTTCACTGTTGCTATGATATTTAAACTCACTGTAGGGAAGTACAAACAGGAAGACTAAAAAAGGAGTATTGTTGAAACCAGCAGAGAATGTTACAGAATCATAGTGACCAGAAGAATATTTTTACTCACTATTTTTATAGTCATTTTATAAAGTAACCTTTGTTATTCTCACCTTGTGCAGAAGTATAGAATGATTCTTTGGGTAGAAGATACTGAAAGTGAATTTGCATATTTTAGTAATTGGTTACATCAATATGATAATAATTTCTGTTATATAATCATTAATGTATAAAGGAGTAAAAGTCAGTTCTGGCATCCCAGGAGAGTCTCGGTAAGGTAAAAGAAATCAGAATTTTAAAAAATCACATTAAGATGATTATTTTATACTTTCTTTGAAAGTCTGGTAAGTGTGGTGAAAGATAAAGAATAAAAGCAGAGGAAGAAAAAATTCAATAGTTTTAAACTGCTTTACAATTATAAACTAAAAAGGATTGTAAAGAAAATTAACTGACAAATGAGGAAAATATTTGCAACAATCTTAATAGACAGTGGGTCCTTACTCTTCATATGTATCTTGTACAGAATTCATAGCCCTGATGACCCCAGTAGAAAAACTGCAAACAATCAGATCTCAATGGAAAAATGGACAAGGGACATAACCAGATAATCTAAAAACTAAAAAGGAAAGGAAAAGAAAAACAATTGTTATGCTAGTTAAATACTAAAATGCAAATTAATAGGATACTGTTTTTTCCATATCAGGTTTTCAAGTATTTTTTTAAAGTCATAATGTTTTAAAAAAAATCCATGATACAAAACATACTCTTTTAATTTGAAGTAAGAATGTAAATTGAAACAGCATTTTCTGGTAAACAGTTTGATGACATAAGAACTTTGTAGTTTATACTCTTCGATCCAGTTATTTCTAGGAATTTTTTCTGACGATAAATCAGTTTTATGTACAGAATAGATGTAAATAGAACTATTTGTAATAACAGAAAAAGTAAGTTTTAATAATTTATTATTGAACTTTATAACTAAAGAAGTATAATTGAAGAATGATGAATTTGGAAAATACTTGTTATGTAATATATAAGTACAATGTTTATATTAAAAAAGCAAAATACAAAACTGTAAATTTAAAACTGCGCTGTCCAATATGGCAGCAACTAGTCACATGTAGCTTTTTTTTTTTTTTTAAGGCACAGAGTCTCACTCTGTCACCCAGATTAGAGTGCAGTGGTGTGATCATAGCTCACTATAACCTCAAATTTCTGGACTCAAGCAACCCTCCTTTGTCAGCCTCTCCAGTAGCTGGTATCACATGTGCACGCCAGCATGCCCAGCTAATTTTTTAAATTTTTTGTAGAGATGGGGTCTCACTGTGTTGTTCAGGCTGATCTTGAACTTCTTGCCTCAGGCAGTTCTCCCATTGGCTTCCCAAAGCACAGAGATTACAGAGTGAGTCACCACTCAGCCACATGCAGCTTTTGAACACTTGGAGTGTGTCCAGCCTGAAAGTTTAGATATGTACACACCCACACATATGCACATGTCCTGTTTTGATGTTCTATAATTAATTTCCTCTCAGTTTTTAACTTTTATCTATCTTATTAATGTACAGAATTGCCCTGAAATCTGGCTATGGAAAGTATCTTGGTATCAATTCAGATGGGCTTGTTGTTGGGCGTTCAGATGCAATCGGACCAAGAGAACAATGGGAACCAGTCTTTCAAAATGTAAGTGCTGTTATTGTTTATAAAAACTTCCTGTCAGTATAACAGAAAGTCTGTAACAATCATAATATATTTAAAAAGAAAAAGTAGGATGCAATAGTATAATACATTAAATTGGAATCAGTCAATAAGAACATAGAGCCTTAAAGAGATCTCAAAATATAGTGCAACAAAAACAGCATTAGTACTTTTGCCCACAATTATTTCTCTATACCCTACTGCCTAGATACGGATCTCATTTCCGTTAAAGAACCAGTCAATTTTAGGTCTCAGAGTAGTTGCTAAGTATCTTCTTTGTAGCAGAAATCATGGATGCTTTCAGAAACATTAGAGACTGTAAGCGAACAGTGGAGCAAGCTAAGACCAAGTTGTGACAATTTGTGCATAAAATAAATAATAATAGTTCATTGAAGTAAATTATCTCTAAAGGACTTTCAGTTCATAAGCTTCAAATAGTGTACGAAAAGATAGTTTTAATATAAAAGGAGAAAAAAGATAATATACTAATGCTTAATTTTAAGAATCATACCACTGCACTCTAATCTAGACAGTTGTAGTATATGGATGTTTTGTTAAATCTTTGTTGGTACAGAATACATAATTTCCTTTCTCTGTTTGTGTGAGAAGTAAAGATTGAACAAAAGTATGTGAGTGCTAAACAGTCTTTAAAAAGTAGGTAACTATACGAAAACCAGTAAGGACCAGTGGGCACAAGCAAGTGGAAGATAAGCTCAGCCTTTGAGTAGCGCTTTGGTGGTATACAATCAGGAACTGAAAATAGGAACTCAGCAGTGTTTTCTAAGATGACAAATTAAACAGACATCCCCCCAGAAAGAGGTAATCACTTAGACTAATTTCCTCATCCCCTGGGATAAAATCTTAAGTCAGTGACTTGAAAACTATTTTGACCCAACCCATTGAGAAATGCATTTTTACATTGCAGCCCAGCGCACACATGTGTATAACTGAAGCAAGAGTTGTACTTAACAATACTTACTTGTTCATGTGTTACGCAGCTTGATATTTCTTACTCTCTTTTACCCCTTCCTCTGTGTGTCTGTGTGTATTCCCTTTCCTTTTTCCCCCCAATACCATTCAGGAACCACTACACTGATTTCATGACCCACTAATGTGTTGCAACCCCTTTGAGATGATCCTACTAGTTATGATGAGATACTTCTAATAAAAATTACACCAGTAGAAAAAGCCAATATATCGTGAGGCCAGGATGATGAGCCAGATAGTTCTAATAATACAACACTTTAGGAAAGTTCATTTCATTTTATTTTTAGGAAGGACACTAAGTTTCAAAAATTTAAATGAAAGAGGGTCTTAAAATTCTATTGCAAAAAGACTCAGGTGAATAATCTGCGGCACAGGTTTAAATCGCCTTGGACCACAGCAGCATGTTCCAGGACTCAGCAGGCGCCATCCAGATGAGAGACCACCAGCCCTTGCGACCTTGACCAAGAAATTAAATCCATGTTATCAGCACTTTTTAACTGGATGTGATATAAGTTATATCACATATTTTATATATTTTTATATATATTTTTATTAAATACATATTTTTATAATCGTATTTCTAAATATTTTGTCTAAATATTATGGTATTCCAAGTTTTCCAAAAGAATCAACCAAATACAAGTTATAAATAAACATTATATTTGTTAAGGGAATCAAGCTAACCAAATTTATAACCCAGATTTTGATACACAAGAAGATCAGTTTTTAAAGTTTTGTTTAATAGAAAGCAGTATAATACATCAAACATTAAACAATTAAAAAAGCATATAAATATTTATTTTCACACACAAAAGTCCCTCAGACAGTGATTCTTAAATTCAAAACACCAAAGGCATTGTATATGCCTTTTCGTGTTTTCTAATTGTGAGGAAAATAAATTTTACTTAAAATGCTAGTATTTGAATAAAGTGTGCATTCATAATTATGTTCTTTAAAGTTAATTTTTCAAACTGAACTAAATCAGTTGTATCACCGTAGATGTTTTAGAAAGGAAGCAATCCTACTTCATCTAATTAGAATTTAGTCCTACTAGGAAGATACACTAAGAATGTTTATTGTGGTAATATTTGAATAGTAAAATAATAGGTGATTTTGGTTTCCTTTTCTGCATGTTCTTGTATTATATTTTTCAGGTTTTCTCTAAGTTCTTTTCTGTGATTTTTAAATCAGGGAGGAAAAATTAATTCAATCTAAACACAACGTTTCTTCTACAAGAAGTATCCTCATGACTCTTATTTTGTTATTTTGTTTCACTTAGGGGAAAATGGCTTTATTGGCTTCAAATAGCTGCTTTATTAGATGCAATGAAGCTGGGGACATAGAAGCAAAAAGTAAGACAGCAGGAGAAGAAGAAATGATCAAGGTAATTATGACATTCTATACAAATGACCACATTCACACATGCAATGTGACTGTCTCTTTAAAATGTTAAATCATCATTTACTGTCACTTTAAAGATTTAGTTAATAGCTTTTTATAATGTGTTTCAAATGGACTCATTTTTTATTATAAATCCCATAATTGGTGGCTTGTTTATACAATGTGATAGAGAAATCAGTGCATCTAGGAGCTACCTTGCCGTTATCTCCATGGATTACTATCTTTTTTTGAGTAGTTCTGCATGATCTTTTTAGGCTTTCGTTTTCTTGTTTTCTTGCTTGTATTTTAAAATCTAATTTTTAAAAGAGAAAATATGTACACGTGGTTCAACATTTTAAAATAAAAGCCTATGAAGACATCTGCCTGCCATTCTTCTTACTCACCTGTGTCCCAGCTCCGGTTCCTATCTCTTTCCCTTTGTTTTGTTTTTTTATAGCCTCCTAAAATTTCTTTATAAACACATGAATATGTTTATAATTTTCAACTGTTTTACACTAAAGTTTGCCTCCTCTATAGTCTTCTAGACTTTAATTTTTTTTTCCTTAAAATTGTATCTTGGAGAGTTTTCTACTATTAGTTTGAATGTAGAAAGTTTTCTCTTTTTCTTGCTTTTCTTTCCTTTCTCTCTCTTTTTTAACAGCCACATAATATTCATTTTAGGGATGTACCTTAATTTGTTTAGTCTCTTATAGATGGAAATGTAGGCTGTTTCCAGTCTTTTGCTCATATACACAGTGCTGCAATACAAAACATTGAATATGCATCCACTTGTAGATGTGCGGGTGGACCTGAAGATAAATTTCCAGACGCAGAATTACCAGGTCAGGGGTATATGCATTTGTATTTACGTAATGCTTGAGCTTCCATGATGAAAATCACTCTATGAAACATAAAAATCATAGCAGAACCTCTGGGGCTTTAGCCCTCACATTTTAAAAATATTTTTATTAATAGTACCAGTCTTCTTTGCATTAGGAAAAACATGAATCACATAAAACATGATTTTTATTTTATTTTTACAATTTGTATGTGTCACTAAGCTGGAAATAAAAGTTCCTTATTCCAGGCTAAATTCCCTCATCTGTAGTCAGATACGTTATCCATTGCACCAGGCACTGGCCTGTTTCCTCCCTAATCCTACTCTTTGTTTTATATCATTGTAAAAGTTACACAGACATCTTCATATCAAGGTGAAATTCTAAGTAATACTGTTAGTATAACCTAGATAAATCAGGTAGTTAGCTGGAATTTGATGAAAACATTTAAGGCTTAATTTTTTAGACTCAGCAAAAGCCAGTGATCTTTAATGATATATATGTATCTAAAGAATAACTCCCTCCTTCTTGACACATGGTTTTTCTGTTCCTTGGCATTCCTTCCCGGTAGTGAGCATCCTGAACCTTGCTTTGTTTGTCTCTGTCGGGAATCACAGGTTGCATCCAGTCTGACCCAGATTTGCTCTGTGATGCATTGTAGGGGCCGGAGTGGAAGGCTCTAAGAGATGGGGGAAATGCCTTTTCTAAGATGCCCTTCTTTCTTATAATTAGAGCATAAAAATTTATGTTACATTTTTCTCTACTACCAGTGTAATTTAAAAGCATCTGTCAAATGTCTGTACGTGCTTCATGTTAGATTTCCGGTCATATGTTTGATTTCTTTTTACAATAGTCTTGATTTCAAATAATTTCAAATCTAAAGCTCAAACAATTTCAATCTAAAATGTAGGTATTATTGTTAGAGAAGTGAAATGTTAGTTATGTTTTTTCATTGCATGTACCCGGCACATGTGTTGTAGTCTCAAATCTCCATCAGGCTCCTGTGAGGTGGATGTGAGCTCAGCCTTACAGATAGGAAGACAGCCTCAGACCCTCCTTACATCCTCGTAGTTTTTCTCAGTCAGTTCATGGAAATCACATAGTGATTTCAGGGTATGGTAAAGACAGGATGTGTAGCCAGGCCCAGCTGACTCCTAAGCCACTCAATATTTCATAGCGCATTGCTTCTCAGGGAACAGGTCATTGGGGAAATGCAGATGGGTTTGTGAATTACCTTTAATTTTATTTATTTATATTTTATTGTATCATATTTATTTTTCATCTGGATATCATCACAAAAGTGTTATTGAAGGCAACAATTGCAAATATATGTGCAGTGCTTTGCACTTATACAAAGAGACAAAGATACTTATACAAAGATTGTGTGTTTCACTATTTAAAGCAGTTTTCAGATGAAATGCAAAGTTGTCTGGGTCTCTGGTTAGTCAAGTACCTGGAAGCTCTGAACAGTGATTATTTAGGACTCTTTTCCTTTACCATTTAATTGCAGGCTCTCCTAATCTCTGTCAGCCATTCACCTTTATGACCTTGCCTTATCTACCAGAACACAGATCCCTCTTACTAAAGGTAGCATTGTGTTGCAGGCCCTAGCAGGGAATGTTTTCAGGTCTTCTGGGACCCTCTAATCAAAACTGTCACAAAGATGTCATTGGCACAAACACGTTGTTTGTCATCACTTTCTAAGCAGTCCTGGAATTGGACGCTGGCCACAGAGATCCTTAGGAGACATGAGTCCTTACCTCTGCCAATTGCCTGTTCTGTGGGCGATCCTAATTGTTGAATGCAGATCAGTTAACTTATGACATGTGATAGTAAATATCTATCCAAACTTTGGAGGATATAAGAAGTTAGTAAAAGAGGTGGGTTCCAATTAGTTAAAAACAAGTTGTGTAGTGTTAAAAGTTTTAATACATTTGGTAATAGTCTGTGCGACGTAAAATAGTAATCTTAAGCTTTCAATCTGATCAAATGAACGCTTGTCTACTAGGGATAATTTGATCCTAGTGTAAATTAAATTCGTTAATGATTGCTTTATTGCCTAGCAGGATCTGATGTGTAAAATGTTTTTGAAATAATTTTGTCTGTAGTGTTTCTGACCCAAGGGCTGCGGAGGAAGCACGTGGTAGCAGTTACTCATATAGATTGTATATATATATATATATATATATGAAGTAAAAACACATAGCCAAAACCTGCCTTTTTCTGAATATAGCTGATCAGTTAATTTTTCCTTCTGCATAAGAAATCATCTCAAATGTTCTTACGTGATACGTAAAGTGGGGAGGGTGGAAGATAAACATATAACCCATTGGATTCTCTTTTCCAATATCTAGATTAGATCCTGTGCTGAAAGAGAAACCAAGAAAAAAGATGACATTCCAGAAGAAGACAAAGGAAATGTAAAACAGTGTGAAATCAATTATGTGTATGTATTCTTTTCCTTTTAGACCTACAGATTTGACAGTGAAGTGCTTCTCAAAGTGCTTTCAAAATAAATTACCTAATTAGTTGGGGATGGTGGTGCATGCCTGTAGGCCAAGCTACTCGGGAGGCTGAGACAGGAGGATTGTTTGAGCCCAGGAGTCCGAGGCTGCAGTGAGCTCTGATGACTACTGCATTCCAGCCTGGGTGACGGAGCAAGACCCTCTCTGACAAAATTAAATTAAAACTGATGGACGGCCGGGCGCGGTGGCTCAAGCCTGTAATCCCTGCACTTTGGGAGGCCGAGATGGGCGGATCACGAGGTCAGGAGATCGAGACCATCCTGGCTAACATGGTGAAACCCCGTCTCTACTAAAAAATACAAAAAATTAGCCGGGCGTGGTGGCGGACGCCTGTAGTCCCAGCTACTCAGGAGGCTGAGACAGGAGAATGGCATAAACTCGGGAGGCGGAGCTTGCAGTGAGCTGAGATCTGGCCACTGCACTCCAGCCTGGGCGACAGAGCGAGACTCCGTCTCAAAAAAATAAAAGAAAAAAAAAACTGGTGGACAAGAAGAGGCAACACAATGTAGCCTCTGGGACAGAGCCCTGAGCTCAATGCTGTTCTCAAGGCTTCAGTTTTCCTAATCATCATACCAGCTCTCAAAGCTAACGTCATGCGGGTTAGTCCATCTCCCTGTTCATTCACAGAACGGGTGTGATGCCAGTCAAAGGCTGTGCTATGGCCAGGACACGGAGGACTCCAGCCGGCATGCCCTAATAGAAGTGGGGCCTTGTG